TCACATTTTTTTATTATTATTATTAGAATTCTGATTGAGTATTCTTTTCATAATTTATTTGTTTACCATACACTTCAATTAAAATAATTTTTTTACTGTATTATTATATCAATTAATTAATATACATTTTAATATTTAAAAAAAAATATTTATAACTAACTATTGTTAAATAATGCTTAACATGAACTTTGTGTTTTTTAAACCAATAAATTCTTAAGCTTGTTTTTAAGTTCATAACCCTTATTAAATATTAATTTTAGTCATATAAGTTTAAATGACAAAGATTAAATATTATATGTTATAAAATTAAAAAGACTAGGAAAACATTGAGAATTAATTACAAAAGCTAATAGAGTGTGATGATATAAAAGTTATTTAAAATAATTGTATTAAAAAAAAATAGTAGTTGCAAATCACAAGAGAATTCATGGAATGAGGCATGAATTGTGTGATACACTTATGAACCTAAGTATAACAAATAGTAATTTAATTTAATGTAAAGCAATAGTCATCTTCTCTTTTTAATCGGAAAATAAATATATATATATATATATATATATATATATTAAATTTATAATTTCATTATTGATTGATAATTAATTTTTTGTTTGAAAAACATAAAAAAATAAAAAAATTAAGGAAAACGTGTGTTAAATTCGCAGCGTAGCAACATTGCTTCAATTAATTGAAGTTGAAGTGCATGCTGAACAGAGTTAAAACCAATTTAAACGCAATAATTGCTCATCACTTGACTTTTGAGACATAAAATAACAAGAGTTTTTTTTTTATCTCCAAAAGAAAGTTTATACATTGTATTAATTTTTTTTTCTCCAATTCATATTTAATTTATTTTATTATTAAAAGATATAATATGAATGAAAAAAATGAGTCAGTCTATTTTATTTGGGCTATCTCATTTCTATTGGCAGAACGAATTGACTTGTAAAGACAAATTATAAATTTTTATCCGCTCATCCTTTGACGAGGACAAACAAAATCGGTATAAACTATTTATTATTATGAGTTGATTTTTTTTCTTTTATATATATATATATATATATATATATATATATATAATATAAGTTTTTCTTAATAGTAATATTTGATTATAGATGTATCTATTATAGTAGGATTAGGATAGATATAATGATATTTATTATCTATAATAATATATAAAATTATTTTTGTATGTATATTTTTTAAGATATTTTTATTCTTATTTACCTTTTGTAGGTCTATAAATTAGATGCAGATGCAACCGTTCTTTTATGTCTCTATTGTTTTCTCCTCCCAAATATACTTATTCTTTACCTCTATCATATTTCATTTCTTAACCATCTTCTTCTACTCTTTTGTTATTTTTCTGTGTTGGTTCAACAATTTTAACACCTGCAACTGCAACACATTTTCTAAGGTACAGGTAAGTTTTATTTTTGATATCAATTCATTTGCATACTTTTATATGGAAAACATTGCATATACTCTTATATAGAAATTATTGGAAGATGATAGAGAGCAAAATTCATGATATACATCCAAAAAGTGATTCATTATACTATGAAATTAAGAGAAACCAAATCCAAAAAAAAAATAAAAATAAATATATATATATATATATATATAAATTAATTAATTAATTTTAATATTAGAGTTTTGGATTAATTTTCTGTGAAAAAAAATAAAATTATTTAAAGAATCTTCAACTTAAATGTGAATTTAAACATAAAAATATTATTCTCTTTATTCATAATTTTCAATTAATGTGTTTTATTTTTAGCAAATAATTTGAACAGCAAAACGGTCTAGTAAAATGTATAAGTAATATTTTAAACCAAGACTTTTATTGATGATAAACTTCCTAATTTTGTTATGTTGATTAATTAATGTAATTAATTTTAATTTATAAAATATTACATGTTAGACAAATAACATCTAGAGGGGGTGAATAGATGCACAAATTAAAATAGATGTCAAATTAAAAATTTATTTGTGAGTCAATAATTTGTTTGAACACAGATAAAGCGAAAACAATAATATAATCAGGAAAGGAGAAAAAGATAAGGGAAAAAGAAGAGCACACAGAGATTTATCTTGGTTCGAGTATAGCTAACCTACATCCGAGTTCCAGATCAACTCTTGACACAAGAGTGACTCCCCATTCACTATCTTTCAAATTCAGTTTACAAATTACAATCAACTCAGCAGAAGAACTAGTAAAAAGTAAACTAATTAAAAAGACAATCACCTCCCTAGAATCCCACTAGGGATGAACACCTCCTCTGAACAAATCAATGGATGAAAAACACCTCCTTAGAATCCCACTAAGGATGAAGCCCTCCATAGAATCACACTAGGGATGAAAACCTCCTTTGAACAAATCAAAGGATGAAAACACCCCCTTAGAATCTCACTAAGGATGAACACCTCCCTAGAATCACACTAGGAATGAAAATAACCTCCTTTTCTACCATTGCAAAAAGGATGAAGGTAATAAAAATAAGAACAGACACACTTGAGTAATGGAGACAATAAATTGTAGAAGCCTGTATAATGCCAATCTCGAAGAACAAGTGTGACTAACAATGAGAGCACAAAAGGCAGTAGAGAAAAGGGTTTTCTCAAAAGGTGTAAAACATCTCTGTTGCCTTGCTCAGAATTCTTTTCTCAAAAGCTGATTGAATGTAAATTGTATTTTCGAATTACGTAATTGTGTGTTTTTGATTTTTCATCAAAACTTAATTAAATAGAAAAATAACATCAGAAAATGGTCGTTGGACATTAATAATATCATAGAGAAAATCGGGATGTATTAAAAAACATTTATTCTTTAAAACGGATATATTTTTCAAATTTGAATTACCATAATTGATTATATTACCGAGTATAATTAATTATGATAGAGAAAATCATTTTTCCATTTACGGTGCATCATAATTAATTATGAGTGAGAAAAATATCATGTTATGAATTTATCACACTTGCACTTTGGAGGCTTATGCATAATATTACTTCATCAACTTGTACCTTCATATCCAAGTATTCTAAGATTCTATCTAGTCTTTAGGAATCATCTTAGACTTCATATATTGGGCATGTAGGGAAATGTTTCACATTGTCACCTACGTCATAAATTCAGTTTGTCCTTAAATTCATCTTGAATGACGTTGACTTAAATGTAGTTAACTTGAATCATCATCAAAATCATCTCTTGGGAATACATGAACATTTCCATCAATCTCATATAGTTGCTTTCCTGCATCATCATCTCAATCATTCATTAAATATTTTTACTCTGCATTTGACTAATTAGAGTTGTATCTTTAATTAACGAGGTCGATTTGTTGGTGTTATTAATGTAATTAACTATAATTTATAAATAATGGTCCTTATTTTAAGGAGTCACATAAAATGTACAATGTCATAATTAACCTTATTTGACTTTTAATATTTTTTTTAGTACAGAACAGTGATAAACATGAAAAACAGGGAGAATCATGACAGATAAAAAGGTGCAGAAATTAAAAGTCCATAATCTAATATCAAACTGTTTTTATTATAATAATTTTTACAATATTTTTTTTTCTTGTTTTACAAGACAGTAGATCTTCAAATAAGAGAAATTAAATAAAATATTATTAATATATAATAAATAAATATAAAAATATAAAAAATTAGAAAATAAAATTGTAAGAATATAAAGAGATAAATTATAAACGCACTGAGTTATAAATCTTTCAGTAACCATGAACCTCACCTCCCAAAAATCCATAACTGCACAAGTCTACACTAGTTTGGCAGAAATGGGGCATGAAAAGGGACCACCGAAATGTCTTAATCGGATGTCGTGAAAATTCTTGCAAGTGAACACGGATTGTGTAATGAAAAAACGAAGGTAAACCATGCATTCTAAATATATATTATGAGTAGAAAATTATCTCTTTTACTTAATTTGAACCCTCCCTATATCACTCGTCTAATTATTCTAGTTATTGCATATTAGTGTATGTTGACCTACTCTCGTACCTGTTACCAAATCCACCCATAACATTTCCATTCCAAACCCTTCGACTTGACAAATTTTAATTTCAAAGCACCATGCATGACACCATCGCAGAGACTTCTTTATAGAAAGTTTTAAAAGATATAGATATAATTGAGCTACTTTCTGAAAAAACATTTGATAGAATGTTTTTACTGTCATGTCATTCACAGTAACACAGTAAAGTTCCTGGATGATATCTTCAACGTTTGTGTTATTTCAACATGAATATTTCATGTTTTGTCAAACAAAAGTGTCTATAGGCCAAGAGAGAGTGACATAGAAAAAGCCAAAAAGAAAAAGAAAAAAAAAGCTCTAAACTCATGCTTCATATCTGTAGACTTTCGGTCGTATATTTCAATAATGACTACTAGCAACACTAGTTTCCATCACCTTTCTTAACTTATCATGGTTTCTTCTCACTTGAACTTTCTCGTAAGAAATTTACTCAAACATTTACACTTCCTTATATAGAAGATATTATAACACCCTGCATTCTGACACGGCACCAACCTTCAATTACCTCACGAAATGTCCCAGCCCAACTATTTAGTTAAAAACACTGTTATTTATCATCACATCACATATCCATACAACACTGACAATCTGGAAGAAACCAGTACCATGCTGCCACTGATGTGTTTCCTATCCTAACGGCTACTTAGATAATGTTTCTGTTATCTTTTTTTCATTATAGTTTTTCTAGGATATATTTTGTTGTTATTTTCTGTTAGTATTTTTTTTTGTCAGTATTTTCTTCTTGTATGTAATTAGTTGCTTTCATGTCTCACGTGGTTCATTTCCCTAAGAAGTTTCCAAATGTTCTACTGTTTCTTTTCTTTTGATTTCACTAGAGGTGTATTGTCTTGTGTGGGATGAGATAAAGAGGGAGTTGAGAAGCTTGTTTATTGATTTTGTTTCTTTTCCAAAGAGGGAGGGAGGGAGTGAAATGGAGAGAGCAATGGAGGAAAAGAAAAAGAGGGGTTTGAAGGAGTGGTTCACATCATCACAGGTTCTACTGGGGATGATACTTGTGCAAGTTTTTGCAACTGGGATGCAGCTACTATTAAGGGTCATCTTGGTTGAGGGTTCCTTCATCTTTGCACTCATTGCATATCGTCATATTGTTGCTGCAATTTGTGTTGCACCTTTTGCTCTCTACTTTGAGAGGTAAGTTTTTCATTCCATTCATTAGTTCTTAATTACTTTCTCTTATTTGTAGCACAAAGTGTAAAATATAGTATTTGAACTTAATTAGCTGGTTCTTTTACTGTTATATTTGGCCTAACTTCAAAGTAAGTTTATAAGACTTGTAAAATAAAATCGAAATTGCTTCATCAGGGAAGAAGAAGACATACAAAGACACTGCTACAAAATATGCTTTCAACATCGCCATTTAACGTCGATTAAAGATGAGCTGACGTTAAATACACTTTCAACGTCGGTTGGTTAAAAAACGACGTTGAAAGTTGAATGTTGGACACTTTCTACGTCGGTTTTTAGTCAACCGAAGTACTTTCAACGTCGGTTTCAGATGAACCGACGTTGAAAGTCTTTTTATGGACACTTTCAACAACGGTTCATCTGGAACCGACGTTGAATGTCATTTTATTGACACATTCAACGTCGGTTCCCAGATGAACCGACGTTGAATGTGTTTTCACCCAAAAATTCTTTTAAGTTAGAGAATTGTCACTGACAGGATTCAAACCCAGTATTTTAAAGTTGAAAGTTGATACTCCAACCACTAAACTACTCGTAATTTTCCGATAATAACTTACAAATTAATTATATTTATATACAAATAAATATATATATCCGTGTAAATATATATTTATTTATATTTTCTGGAAAGTATTTTTATTTTTTTCCGACCAAAAATTCACTTAAGTTAAAAAATTGTCATCGACAAGATTCAAGCCCAATATTTTAGAATTGAAAGCTGATATTCCAACCACTAAACTACTTGTAATTTTCCGATAATAAATTACAAATAAATTATATTTATATACAAATAACTATATATCCGTGTAAATATATATTTATTTATATATATTTTCTAGAAAGTGTTTTTATTTTTTTCAGTAAAAAATTCACTTAAGTTAGAGAATTGTCACCGATAGGATTCGAATATAGTATTTTAGAGTTGAAAATTGATACTCCAACCACTAAACTACTATAATTTTTTGATAATAATTTACAAATAAATTATATTTATATACAAATAAATATATATATATATCCGTGTAAATATATAAATATAGAATATATAAATACAAATATATTTATATATTTTGATATATTTATATATTTTTATGTTGGATGTGAGGGCGCGTTCGAGGGTGAAAGTGAGATTGACTCTCGCTTGAGTGAAAATACGTTAAAGCTCACTGGAAATTCACTCGCTCAAGCCTAGCTTGAGCGAAAATTGGTATTTTTCGCTGAGCGAATGTGTCGATTGAGCGAATGATGCGTTTCCCAAATTTATTTTATATCATTATAGAAATAAATTATAAATATTATATTCTGTCATTAAATTGCAAACCCATATAAAGAGACCCGCTCAAAAATTTGACATCAAATTTTGAAAACCCACTCGACACACACTTTCACCTTCGAGCGTGCCCTCACATCCAATATATAAATATATCAAAATATATAAATATATTTGTATTTATATATTTACACGGATATATATTTATTTGTATATAAATATAATTTATTTGTAAGTTATTATCAAAAAATTCGAGTAGTTTAGTGGTTGGAGTATCAGCCTCCAATATTAAGGTATTGGGTTCGAATCCGTCAGATGACAAAAAATTAATTTGGTAATGTTTTAAACTTTAAAATAATATGATAAATAATAAAAATATAATATAAAAGAGATGGGGACCTAATAAAAATATAATATAAAAGAGAGAGTATTTCTAGATAAATAGAGGGGTTGGAAATAAATAAAAAAATTTAATTTGAAAAAATCAGATTTTCCACGTCGGTTAAATAGAACCAAGACTTTAAAACGCTCGGTTACGAAATCGACGTTGAAGGCCTTCCAGAATGTGAAAAAAAACCTTATTTGTAGTAGTGAGAGAGAGGGGGAAGGGTATGAAAAGAAAAGAACTGAAATAGCATTGATTAAATATTTAAAAATTGTTTCTTTGAAAATAGTTTCAGAAATAAGCTTAAAATGAAAAAATAAAATAGAAAAAATATTATTTTGAAAATTTCTAAACACAACCACTTTTTGTTTGAAACTCCCGCAAGTCACTACTAATCTTGTCTAATAGTTTCTTCTCTTCTGTAATATTTCCACCTCAATCTTTCAATTTTTTCAAATTTTACATGCTCCTAGGTTCTGATTCTATTTGCTCAATAATCATGTTATTTCATTTTTCTTTTACTTTTAATTAATAAGAACTGTTAAATTGTTTATAATCTATTTTCTATTTTAAACTTTTTAAATATTTGCACACAAAATAGTGAAATCATTTTTCCTTTTATTTTAAAACATAAATTAATAAATATAATAATATATTATATATCTATTCATTTATTTCAGATTATAATAATATTTTTTTCAAAAATATAACTTTTTACATTTCATAACACAATTTATCATTTAGTGACAATATACTTTTTACGACATTTATAATATATAATAATTAAGGTTTAGGGTGAAATAAATGCAATTTCTGGTAGACAAAACCATGTCTGTTTACATTGTTTTAGATATATGCAAAATATTTCAAAGAAGTATTACACGTAATTAGTTTATTAGTATCTTAAACAGATAAATAAAAAAAGTATTCTCTTAATTGGTCATTTAATGGTTGATGTTCTCCTTTGCAAATTATTTGGGTTATGAATGCAGAGGCCGCATGATGAGTTTTACCCCCAAAGTTTGGTTTTGGCTCTTCGTTAACGCGTTCACAGGGTACGTGTTCTTTACCTATTATTTTCACCCCACCCTCTACTCAAATATTTGTTTTATCGTTTTAAAAATAGTTCTCACATATGTTACAGTTCTTTAAATGCATAAATTCATTTTTTATATATATAGTTTATACAATTATGTATTGAACAATGGAATATAATATAATCTAACCTTAAGAGAATATATTAGTAGTATTTCCTTTTTCTAATTTCAACTTATATTAAACTTCCTCACTACCCAATAAATATTATACTAAAATAAAATTTGATTATGTGATTATTTCAGTGTTAAAGATCCCAAAACATAACTAGAAAAGCAAAATTTAAAAACAACTTGCATCAAATGAGATTAACTTGTTCGTAAAAAATATAAGAGTGAGCGATGAATGGTGGGTTTGAATTCTTAAAAAAAGAGCCTAACATATTAACAAATAATATTTATCTATTAATCTTTTTCTTCATTTTACTATTTTAATCCTACAATTAAATATTCTCTTATATTTAATAAATAGAATAACATTAATGAGAAATAATCTTTGTACTTGAATATTTTACACCAAATGCACAACCAATCACACGTAGAAAATGGGACATGAAACTGTGATTGCAATAAAGCATTGGCATTTACATTTCTTTATCTAGAAAGGCTTAAACCATATAAAGTTTTATGTTTTTCTAACATTGTGATGGTCCAATTACAGGATGACTATGGCTCAAGGATTATTTTATTTTGGGCTGAGAGACACTACAGCTACTTACTCCGCCAGCTTTCTCAACTTGGTTCCAATATGCACCTTCTTTACCTCAATCATATTCAGGTATCCATGATATACTAGTCCATATAAAACATCACCCAAATGTTCCCAAGCCTGATTGCATAACCAGTCTTGGTTGATGAATCAATGTAGATTGGAGACATTGGGGCTGCACACTTGGGCTGGTAGAGCTAAGTGTGGAGGAGCAATTCTGAGTGTTGGGGGAGCATTAGTTTCAAGTCTTTACAAAGGGAAAGGATTTTATCTTGGTCATCATAGTCATCATGCTCAAACTGCTGTTGCAGCACACCTTACTCACATGCTACGAGGCACTTTCTTTTTGATCTGCAGCTGTTTCTCATTAACAGCTTGGTTTCTTGCACAAGTATATATCTCATTCATTAGTCCAATGTTTTTGGAACTTGCTTGAATTGTCTAGGCTAAAATGCATGCTCCCCCCATTCTGTAATATAATGTTTACAGTAAACAATTAACCAAATCTTGATGAACTGCGTAAACTCATATCATACAAAGGTGGACCAAGTAAGCCTCAAGTTTACTATCATAACTCTAGATAATGAGTTAAAGCATTTTGCTAAAAAGAAAGGCTTTCATGTGACTATTATCCTTCTCAATTTGCTATATTCAATTTATTAAACAGGCTCAATTGTGTAAAGTATTTCCATTGAGGTATTGGGGAACAATGATATCATGCGTTTTGGCAACAATTGAAGCAGTAATCATAGGGGTTTGCATAGATTCCAGTAAAGCTGCTTGGAGATTAGAGTGGAATCTAGAACTGGTCACCATAGTGTACTCTGTAAGATACTGTGAATGCTTCTTAAAGGAATTTCTCTTCAATTTAATATCAAATTGTTTAATTTTCTTTCTTTAATACTATGTTAATGCCTTGGACCCAAAAAAGCATCAATTTATTACTCTAATTTCATCCTAAGGTATAACAGAGTGATTACGATTTACAATAATCATTTAACTTTTTCAACAATTTGAAATCAATAAATACATGAATCAAGGTGTTGCTTAGTTTCTAATTTGATGAACTTTGAAAGAGGACTTCGAACATTCTGAAGTGATTATTAACAAGTGGTTGTTTATTTGTTTAGGGAGCACTGGCTTCTGCTGCTACATTCTGCCTACTGTCTTGGGCAGTTGCAGTCAAAGGACCTTGTTATCCTCCAATGTTCAATCCCCTGGTTCTTATTTTTGTGGCCTTTTCCGAAGCTATCCTACTTGGAGAACAACTAACCGTTGGAACGTATGAATATTTCTACTTCTACACATCATGCCAATTTAATTGTTCCTTTCAATTCTTTCCTTATCTAGCCATTTTGAGGTTTGACCCAGAAGCACCATAACACAATCACATGTTCAACTTCGTTATAAACACTACAATTTAGATCTAATTCTTTGAATGGTTGAGGTTTTATCTTCATGTTCTGTATAAAAGAGGTGAAACTTCAATTCTGAGTACAATAAATGTTAAAAATTCCAGAATATAACTTTTGTTTTCTCAGTATTCTAGTTTTTGTATGGTACACAGAAAAGAAAAATACTAATGGAATACCTTCATGCAGGTTGCTGGGCATGGTTTTGATCATGGTGGGGTTGTACTCCTTCTTGTGGGGAAAAAGCAATGAGACAAAGAGCACGGCTCAGCAACCAATTGAAGCAGCAGCAGAAGTATCAAACATGACTGATTTGATTGCCGCGGCGGAATCAGCTGCTACAGTAGTGCCAAGTTCTTCTCCAGTAAACATAGTAGATTTTAAACTTGAGATGCCTGACAAAAACTGAAAAAAAGAAAAAGAAAAAAGAAACCTCCTTGAAAGCTGAAGATAATCTGTGTGTGAAGAGATGATCTCTACTTTGTTGTGAGGGAATGGTCCAACATGTTGATAATCTTGTAGTGGTTGAACTCTATATCTTAGTCATTGTACAAAGCATTATTATTTATTGATTTGCTAGCTTCTTTCTTTTCTTTAAGGGGAGACCCCGAGTTACATGGAAAGAGCTAAGGGAGGAAAAGAAAAAGAGGGGTTTGAAAGAGTGGTTCATATAATTATATTTATGGTTAATTAGATTGAAAAATTAAAATTTTGGCTATATTCAACAAATGACCATTTTTTTTTACAAATTAGATGTATTATTTTTTTTAAGGTAAAAAATTATTCGTACTAAATTCAAATTCATTATCACTTTTTATTATTTTTTTAATAAAATTAAATTGTGTTTGAACTAAAGAAACTAAATTATACAAAAATTATAATATTTCACATTTTTGTTTTAAGGAAAAATCCAAACATACGTATGTTATAAATGATGATTAACAATGGTGAGAAAAAAACATTTATTGGAAGTAGAATAATAGGAAAGAGAAGTTTTTTTGTTTAGCAATAGGACAAATTTCACAAACATACAATTTATCATAATTAACGAAGAAAAAATTGTTCTTTCTCACGTCCACGCTTTCATTTCAAGCATAACCTAAATAATAATGTCAAATATCCAAATTAATAGTAGTAATAGGGTGTGATCTGATTCTGGGTGTATCATATAAATTCTAAAAGACATTTTGAGTACTCAAAGCATATCATGATTATCGGTTGAACCAATTATTTTCAAGATATTATTGTCTTGGCACATTAAGAGTTGATTTTACAATAAATAATAAGTTTAAACTAAAAAAGCATGTATAGGATATGATGAAGGGAACATAAAAATAAAATACCACCAGAATAATTAGCAACAAATTCGTTTCCATTTGGTATCGAACATGAATGAGTTTAATACGATAAAACTAAGTAAAATGAAAAAAAAACAAGAACAAATATGATTAATAGCTCCATCAAGAACTAAATATGTGCAGAAGCAGTAAAAGGATCAGGTTGAGTAAGACTTGGTTTGAGACACTACTGTTTTTAGAATTTTGTGATTATTCTGAGTGTTATTGAGCCTCGGTATTGTTCCTTTGCGGTAACAAATAATTTTTGTCCTAAAATTTCCTTTAAGATAAGTATTTCTTTCTTCAGATCTTGAGAATGATCCATTTTTATTACTGCCAGACCTAGATATAATTTTAGTTATTTTCTTTATCTCTTTTTTGTCGGTTTTATACGGTTGATTATTATCTAATTAACGTTAATTATGGGTCAACGAACGTAATTTATAGAGATATATTTAGGATGGAGAGTAAATTATTCTGTACACTACATAATCTCCAATCTCAAATGTTAAACATCAAGGCTAATTATTACATTAAGACCCGAGATCTTGTTATTATATTCATCATGCTTACTGGTCTGACTCGTAATATCAATAAAGTGATTAGACTAATTATTTAGACACTACACAACCTCTAATATCAAGTATTAAAGGCCGATGCTTTGAGAAAATTGTGTCTACTCATCAATATTTCAACATTGTAAGTAAATCAGTTGACATACATGTTAGTTTCCAACTCGTGATCTTAAGCGTCACCTTGTGACCTCACAAGTTTCGACCTCATAGGATCAATATATAACCCAACCTCATAGGGTCCGAACTCATAGGATCGCTTTCGTAGATCAACCTCATAGGGCCACAAATCTCATAGGACCGCGTTGTAGACCTACTTCATAGGATTGCAACCATTGTTGAATTTCTCAATCTCATAGGGTCGCGATCGTTATAGAGCAACACGACCTCATAGGGTCGTGACTGTTGTAGAATCTCCAGACCTCGTAGGGTCGCAACTATTGTAGAACAACACAACCTCATAAGGTCGTGTCCATTTTGTCGAAATCCAACCTGATAAGGTTGTAGAACACCACACGCACATAAGGCCGCATCTGTTTTGTCGAAATCTGACCTGATAAGGTAGCGATCGTTGTAGAACAACATGCCATATAAGGTCGTGTTAGTTTTGTGGAAATCCGACCTGATAAGATCGCGACCATTGTAGAACAACACATCCATTTAGGGTCACATCCGTTTTGTTGAAATTTGACATGATAAGGTCATTATGTAGAGTAAACCGACTTTAGGATGAACCTCTCAAATCTTTGAGGCGTTCTCTTTCGGGTAAACTTAGATCTCATATGCTCTTCATTTGACAATGCCCAATATATAACGTGCTTGTGGTTTGCTAGCTCATCAATGTTCATAGCGGAATAACCAATCACCATCAAATGAGTTAGACTTTTATAATAATAATAACAATAATAATATTATGAAGACCTCCCAAGCAGTGGAGATCCACCTTGTTCACGCATCTTTCCACGTTCAACATCATCACAGTGGAACCGGATCTCAACAACAATCAAATATGATCTCAAATCGTTCCTCAGAATGAAACAATTCTACTACCGGATCGACCGTGTATGGAAACTAAGCTTCCTTTTCATGATATTTTTGCAATTGTTCCATCATCGACAGCACGCGTTGAATTGTTGCGTGCATAGCTGGGAATTTGCCTGCATAGTGCATGCGATCATTGCGTGGAAGTGAGAATTATTTTTTGTGTGTGTTTCGATTCCCAAACACCAATATTGTGGTCTAAGAGTGAGATAATCATTCCTCGACCTAAACCTAATTTTATTTACTTTCTTTAGATCTTTTGGACCAGTTGATTATTATTTGATTTCGTTAATTATAAGATTTGTGGAAATATATTCAAAGATATACTCGACGAAATTCTAGAAAATAAATTAATAAAATAACTAAAAATATCTAATACAATAGACTATTATTAAGAAGAATTATAATCTCAAATAACAAGAACCACAAAATTAATGTGAATGAACTTCTTTTTCTTTCTAGCTGCTATAACAAATCTTAACTTCTTTTAATTTCCTAAATAAATAAAAAATAGGAATAACCAACCTTAACAAAATTAATGATAAAGATATTAATAAAATACACAAAAATTGTAAAAGAAATAGCATAATATAAAAAATGTTCAAAAATATTTTTTAACCATCTTTTAGGAGACATGTCTATTTTCATTGATGTATATTATAATTTAGTAATATTCTAGTTGATATATGATCTCTATTATATTTCTTTATGTCAATGATTCATCTGTGATCCAATATTTGTGGATGGTCTTATAGTAATCCAATATTGTGTAATACAATAGTTCCAACAGATCTCACATTATCTCACGTTTGAGGGTTGAAGAATAAATATAGTTAACAATGAATATGATTAACAAAAAGGAAAATGAATAATATAATTGACAAAAAGAAAATATAAATTAACAAAAAGTAAGAATAACTTCCCTCACATGGGTTATGCAAGATATAAAAGTTAATTATAAAAATATGAAGGAGTGAGAGATAATTTAAAGCAGTTTTGCTAAAAAGAAAGGCTTTCATGTGAGTATCATCCTTCTCAAGTTGATATATTCAATTTATTAAACAGGTTCAATTGCGTAAAGTATTTCCATTGAGATATTGGGGAACAATGATATCATGCGTTTTGGCAACAGTTCAAGCAGTAATCATAGGGGTTTGCATAGATTCCAGTAAAGCTGCTTGGAGATTACAGTGGAATCTAGAACTGATCACAATAGTGTACTCTGTAAGATACTCTGAATGCTTTTCTCTTCAGTTTAATATCAAGTTGTTTAATTGTCTTTCTTTAATACTATGTTAATGCCTTGGACCTAATAAAAACATCAATTTATTCCTCTCAAATTCATCCTAAGGTATGAAAACAGAGTAATTATGATTTACATTAATCATTTAATTTTTTAAACAATTTGAAATCAATAAAATACATGAATCAAGGTGTAGCTTAGTTTCTAACTTTGATGAACTTTGAAAGAGGACCACGAGCACTCTGAAGTGATTATTAACAAATAGTTGTTCCTTTCTTTAGGGTGCACTGGCTACTGCTACATTCTGTCTATGAGAACAAAGTCCCACATCGGTGATTACTTCAAAGGGGACATAGGTGAGTGGTTATATAAGAAATCACATACCCCCTATTTCATCCATCCCAAAATTTCTTTCTTTCTCTAGTATTAGAAAGGGTTGTCATTTTTAGGACTAGAGAAGGGGTATATAATTTTTCTTCTTATTATAAAATTTCTACTTTTGTCTATTATTACTATTCAATTTTTCTCTTCTTTATTTTAGTTGAGTTCTTGTGCAAGTAGTCTGATACCTAACAGTGATATCAGAGTCATGTTCTTATTTTGTTGCGCTAGTCACTAGAATAATGTTGGTAAAGTTCTTAGTATGTTATGTGGTTGCGATTTAATCTGATCTTCCACATCAGAAAAAGAGTTTTTACTGGAAAATGTGTGGTAGTGTGAAACTGTTGTCTGGGATCTTCCACATCAGAAAAAGAGTTTTTTGAAAAAGGTGTGGTAGTGTGAAACTGTTGTCTGGGGAAGTTCTGGCTAGGAAAGACTTGGTACTTAAGTATGTTCATTAGTGATTCACCTCTCTTTCCTGGGAACTTACCTGGTGTACTGGGTTCATGGTCTACTACTATTGTTCCAATAGACAATACTATTCATAAGTGAGAGTTGCATAAGTGGAAATACAACCATGGCAGCAAAGTATGAAATAGAGAAGTTCAACGGGAACAATTTCTCGTTATGGAAATTGAAGATGAAGGCAATTTTGAGAAAAGACAATTGTCTTGATGCAATTGAAGGAAGACCCGCAGAAATGACGGATCAGAAGTGGAAGGAAATTGACGGCAACGCTATCGCAAATTTGCATTTAGCAATGACAGATTCCGTACTATCCAGTGTTGTGGAAAAGAATACAGTAAATGAGATTTGGGATGCCCTCATCAAATTA